TATTTGTCTCTAAGATAATAATATTCAATTTCTAGAGTTTTTAGTTAAAAAATATAAAAGTAATATTGCGGTTAAAACAAATGTAAAATCAAAGGGTTAAAACAAAGAAAATAGTACTTTTTTATATGAATTAAATGCATAAAATTAAATGATTTATGTTTAAAATATAATGATTTAAATGAATTAGAATTCCAAAAATATGCATAAGTATCTATAACATTACTTAAAAATGCATAAAGGTATGCATTTTTATGGATTTCTTAAAAGCGGTCTACAAAACCGCTCACAGTAATTATGCCAAAAAAACTGTCACAGCAGTTAAAGGTTAAAAAAGAAAACTTGTATTCTAAAACATGAGATCACAATAATCTTTATACCATCTACAAAATATATACATAATATGCTACAAAATATTAAACATCATTAGTATCCTGTGCTTTGGTAAATACATACGAGACCCCCCTGCCAAAATAAATAAAATTAAAAATTCTTGTATGCTGCATCTTTTAACTTTTCTCTGCATGGAATGTTTTACAGTACTATCATCTTTGTATACCTCATCTTAACAGTTTTTGCACTTAGTTTTGCAGGCACATAACTTTAAAAATCAAATGCATGCAGATCTCCCAGTGTGTCATTCTACATAATCATACTTGCAAACGCTCCCAGTTATTTACTGAGAGACCCAGTTTTCTGTCACATTTCCCAGTCTCCCTGCCAGATCACCGAATCTCCTAGTTTTAAATTTTTAGCCTTTACTAATGAAGTGGTTTTCAGCAATGAATTAAATTCATTGAATTAATGAAACTCAAATTGTATAAAATTTCCTTCCTCAACCCCTAGTGATTCTGAGAATGATTTTTCTTAATTAATATTATTTAACAAACCCTTACCTGATCTATTGTAGACATTTGTAGAACTTCACATGAAGATCTGATCTCATCCGGTCTAATTCATATCTAATTAGTTTCCCAATGAAGTACATTTTTATGCTTGCAAACGAAATATAAATTTAATCTCCTTTTCAAAAAGAATCTGCTCTAATTGTATTGGTTTCTCATTCTCAGAATACTTTGAATCACATGTTAAATTACAACATTAAATAAAAAACTTCCCCCCTTTTTTTACAGATATATATATATATATGCAAAAAATACCACACAGGTTGCACTAGCAGAAAGGAAACACCCATACTTTAAAATTAATCAATGCACTGAAACAGGAAGCTTGTGAAAAGACAAATTTATCAGAATGAGATAGAGTTCCATTCTTCCTGAAACACTTTAAGTTATTTTGGCTTTTATGCTAAAGAATTAGCTTTTATTTAAGATTTGTTTGTTGGCTAAATAGTACAGATCTATACTTTGTTACAACAAATACCATTGTGTAAGGTAGAAATGAATGTTAACACATATATAATCCGATATAACCTTGCAGTTCCTAAGAAAAGTCTAGCTTGGTATGAAGCAGTCTGTCATTGCAAACTTCAAAATCAACAAAGATTTAAACAATCAATATCTTTAATCTTTAGCCACAGACACATGTCACACTTCTATCAAAACTGTTTTTAAATGTTCTTTGCTTTTTTAAACTAGTTTTAATAGAAAAAAAATAATCTGATTGCAAAATTTATTTATTGTTTTCAGGCAGACTCTACAACACACATACTAATGTCAGAAAGTACAGTATTAGTAATAAGGGATTAACCCTTTCTATACCTACAGCCTAATCTCCCAGCCCCTCGCTACAAGATGGAGTGTTGGGCTTCTGTTAATGTCCCCACAGGACAGCGAGTACTCTATCGCTAAGCCTAATTTTTCTAAAAAATTTAGCAAAATACATTTTTATTCGTATTTATTGAATTTTTTGTCAACTATTTCAGAAAATGCATTTATCTTTATGCTTGATGAATAACAGAATTAAATACATATAAATTTTTCAGCTGTAATGATATACAGGGTGATCTTTTTCAAAGTGACAGTGTTTGGAACGACCTGTAGCACGATCTAATAGCCGAAATGGCACCAAACTTGGTATTTAGAGTAATCAATACATGGGGCATCAAGACATACATTCGTACAGTTAAATTATTAATATTTATTTACTACATTAAATTCCCCATTGAGGAATTAGACCTCATTCAATGTGAGCACCGTTCTCAGAAATAACACCCTGCATTCTGTGCACAATGATCTCCACAGCCATATGTAACATATCATGAGAAATATTCCGTACTGTCTTTGTTATGTTGTCCTTCAGAATAGACAAATTTGAATACTCCACCAACATAAACTTGAGATTTCAAATAACCCCAGAGCCAAAAATTGCATGGCGTGAGGTCAGGGGAACAAGGCGGCCATGCAACTGAAAAACTGCGACTTATGACTCTATGATCAGTGAAGTTTAGGCGCAACAGCTGCTTTACCTTATTACTAATGTGTGGAGCAGCACCATCCTGCATAAATATTGTCTGTTGGAGACGGTTTCTTTGCTGAAGTTGTGGAATAACAAACGTTTGCAGCATTTCGTGGTACCTTTCTGTATTTCTGGTGCACGTTTGCGGTCCTGTCGGAGTGATGGACTAAAAAAAAATGGCCCAATTACGAATTCGGCTGTGAAACCATACCAAACAGTGACTTTTGGGGAATTTAATGGGATTTCGTGCACTGTATAGGGCTGCTCAAAAGCCCAAATTCGACTATTTTGTGTGTTTACGGACCCATTGAGATAAAAATGGCACTCCCCACAGAATGTGCCATGGGAAATTATCATCAATTTCTATCCCAGCAAAAAACGATAGAGTGAATGTCACTCGCTTATCATAATCACTTGGTTTCAGTTCATGCAAGCGGCTGATTTTGTAGGGGTAAAATCCAATAACGCGCCACAAAACTCCTCATACCATGGAATAATTCATGTCCAATTATAGAGCTACACCCCAGGCGCTGCTAGTTCCAGCAATGGTTGCCTGCGATCCTTCGACAATTGCATTTTGCCACATCAGTTATTACATCTTCTGATACTGGTTTACGTGCTCTCCCAGTGCGAATGGTCAGTGACTCCGTTTCCTCGAACTTCTTAATCATTTTCCTTAAGACCATTCAGCGATAATAAAGGCTCCCTTTCGTGGCATTTTTTTTTCTGGTTTGAAATTCCCGAAGAGCTGCGGATGCATTACATTGATTCATGTAATACAGCTTCACCAGTGTAACGCACGTTCCGGTAACGTGAGAGGGGACATGTCCACTGGCCCAGAAGTCGTTTACTTCAGCTGAGATTATTTGTCAGAGCTGTCTACTACTTGCTTTTATTGCCCCTATTACTGGCGTTGTCATCGCACAACATTCGCATTTTCTTTGATACCTGTGTTTTATGCTAATTCTCGTTATTGTAAGCTACAGCAGCATCACAAAATGCCCTAGCGGTTATTTTTGGAACAAAATTTTTTTTCACGGAATCCTTTTCCCCATAACTTGATTAGTCTAAATACCAAGTTTGGTGCCATTTCGGCTATTAGATTGCGTTACAGAGCGCTCCAAACACTGTCACTTTCCAAAAGATCACCCTGTATGTAGACAATCAAAGAGGAATTTTAAAACAAATGTTCAGCATTTGTTAAACAACAATGAAAATATTTAATGCAAAGCAATAAACCTACATGGGCACATCCACACATACATATTTATATTTACAATGAAATTTGAAATTTAAAATTTGTTTTCTGTGTTTTTTCATTAAGAATTAAAGATGGAAAATGCCTTTCTGAAAGGCAAAATTGCATCATAAACATCGCTTTTATTTTGACATCTTTAACATACACACACACAAAAAAAAAATAAATAAATAAATAAACTGAAAAACTTACATTCACACAAAAGAAAGAACATCCTACATTACTTATGAAAAGAAACTAAATAAAAATGACTTATGCCAGATACTCTTCCGTCAAAAAGCCACTAGAAAGAACATAAACAAAATCGCATGTGCGCAGCACGCTTGCTTTGCTCAGCATACTTGTTTATACAGTACAAAGTCCGTAATCCGGACTCGTTGGGACTTTGGCGATTCCAAATTATACATCATCAATTTTAATCTGGTAAGATGGCATGCAGAAATTATACAATTAAAAATATGAAACTGTAATTTATGAAATAAATTGCAATTATGATCTAAAGGGTATCAAAATTTACAAAAAAAAAAAGAGCTTAATATTTATGTGTTTACTTTATTACACATTTTTTTCAATGCAAGTTGTTGAAGTTGCTTCGTTTTTTGTGCTAATACTTTCTCTTTAATTCTATAAACAGGCATAATTTCTTGTTCAGTTACAAAGTTCCACTGTTCAAGTCCTGTAATTGCCGTGTTGAGAATACCAACTATCGAAATTTTTTCGTTTTCAATAACCCCTCTGTCACTTTCTTCTCTATCGGAAGTATGCATGGGTAAACGCTTTATGCGCATGCGTAGTGGAAGCGCGCATTAAAAGCGCATGCGTGTGTGGCTTTGAGGTCATGATTAAAGATCATTACGGATAATGGACGTCTGGATTACGGACTTTGTACTGTATTACAGAATCCTGCTATCTACCCTTCAGAATCAAATGAAACAGTCCAAAGTCAAAGTTCAGGCATCATAATTCCCATTTATGTCCGTACCACAAGCATAGGGTGTTATCTGTTAGAATTTTAAATATTTACATTTCATTCCATGTGACTGACACAGATACATTACAGCAGTCTAGCCAGGTGCTATTCCTCTGAGATGCAGATGTCACACCTGCCATAGACGAATCGAATGCTACCGTGATGTATACAACACACCCATACAGAAAAGGTTAAAGACATCAGTGAAAGCAATATAATACACAAGTACATGAAATGCATTTTACATACAGCAACAATAAAGCTATAGTTTAATATACATCTGATGCTGTGTTTTATTTAGATGTACATAAAATGACAAACTAAAATGAATTAGGTAATATATAATGCATAACATACTTTTAACAGTTCATGTTCATCAAATACAGGATTCAAGGTGTGTTTTTTAACTTTTGTTTTCCTCTTGCCACTTTTTGTGCGATCAGGAAGCAAATAAACTTTAACATAACTGTATGTACAAAAAAAAAAAAAAAAAAAAGAGGAAGACTTCAGAAAACAAACTGAAATATTGTTATAAAACTACAGTTGATACTGAATACTACAAAAGTCTTAACAAGCATGCACATAACAATGAAAACGAGAAATACACATTCACATAGATTATTTCAAAATAATGAGAAAACAATGCAGAAAAATGTAATACACTGGAAATAAGAATATCTATGTTTGTATTCATGCATTAGCGGACAGGTAGGATTTCTGGAGAAGAAAATATTATACTGAGAATTATCTTCCATTATAAAACTTGAGAAGTTTAAACTGACTTTAGCTCCTTTTTTCTTTTGATGGTTATTTATTTAGATATATGACTTTTATTCGTTGCAATTGAATAACTGAACTACTTAAAATGAGCAGATTTTATCCGAAGGACCATACTTCACAAAGTTCTGAACGTTTCAGAATTTAAAGGAAGGTTTTGTTGAAATTATCACTATCATGAAATAGCTCAGTTTCAAACCACTATCACCACAGACATTTAAAATTAGGAACTAAAAATTTTTGCAATTCATAGACAGAAAAGGACAAAAAAAAAAAAAATCATAAAATTCCACTAATTATGACTAAATAGTACAGAAGAAATGTTACTCTCAAATTTCAACTACAGTACAAAGTCCAGACTCATCGAGACTTCGGCGATTCTGGATTAGGGTTTTTTTCTGGATTATAGATCATCAATTTAAATCTGGTAAGATGGCATGCAGAAATTATAAAATAAAAACATGAAACTGTAATTTATGAAATAAAGAGCAATTATGATCTAAAGGGTATCAAAATTAACAAAAAAAAAAAAAAAAAAAAAAGCTTATATTTGTTACTTTATTAAACTTTCTTTCAATGTAAGCTGTTTAAGTGCTCTTTTGTTTTACTTTCTCTTTAATTCTATAAACAGACATAATTCTTTAGTTACAAGTTCCAGTTCCCTGCAGTTGCGTCGAGAATACTGACGAACTTGTCAATCGAAATTTTTTCGTTTTCAATAACCTCTCTGTCACTTTCTTCACTATCGGAAGTGGTACATCAAAACCTTGCTTTCACTTTGTAGATCCTTTGGCAACTCTAGAATTGGAAACTCTTTATGACATAATCGAAAGTTCAAACTTACTTATAAAATTGCTCTAATAGTCTGTGAAAAATAATAGGCTGTATCCAATTAGAAGGTTAAGGAACAATGCAATCTGCAACATTAACTTAAATGGATAATTAGATAATTTTAACGTAGCTTATACCGTCTGTTATACAATAAATGCGCATGTGTAAACGTATTATGCGCATGTATAAAAATATGCGCATGCGTAAACGCATTATGCTTTGAGGTCCATATTACAGATCATTCCGGATTATGGACGTACGGATTAAAGACTTTGGTACTGTATATATATATTTTTTACACTGCTTTAATCAGTAATGAATATTCCATTCTCTCTACCATATCCCAAATTTTAGTAAGATTAAAAATACATTATCATGTTAACTACATATATTTTCATTTGAAACCAATCTGGATGTATACTTCAACATTTAAACTTAAAAGATCTTTTTTTCATTAAGTATGATTTTGGCGATGAAAAGATAAATAGCCATTTAAGGTCACATATCTAAAAATATGCGTGGAAAATACTCCCACAATACTTTTCAAATTCTGTCTACATCACATGTCGATACAAACAACTTTATTCAATTTATACAGCTCTTGACAAAAGAAACATTCAGTATTAATGTTTAAACAGCAGTCGATAATTATCTCATGAAGTTTTATGAGCTAATTCTTTTTATTTACCACACACAATTTTGTTATGTTTTTAGCTATGGAACACATCTAAAATTTCAGTTATTTACTGACAAAATGCTGGAAAATATAATAATTAGTCTTGCTTATTCATTCACAGATGTGATATACAGTACAAAGTCCTAAATTCCGATTTTAATATCCAGATCTCTGGACCACTAGCAGAATTCAGTTACTTTTTCCTGTTTAGTAGTTAAAAATGATTATTAGGTTTGTAAATTGCACAATTACACAGTTTGAAGTTTAATAGGCTTCTTATTATTACCTCCCTATTATGATATTTCATTTATCCAACATTCTGCCCGCTTATTTTTGTCAAATAAGCAAACACTCTAGTGTATTTCCAATTTTAGTCAATTTAACATTTTCTGATGTTTTGATACACATCAAGACTTCACACTAACAACCCTTTTGATCACATGAATTTTTTTATGATTCTGTCAGTTGAAAACAATTTGCTGAAAATAACAACATACTTATCATTAGACTCTCAAGGTTTATTTTTTTAAAAATCACATATGCATAAAATTTAATATAGTGCTGTTGATAAGATTTTACTACAGAAAGGCTTAATTAGAAGCAAATGATAGTTCTTTCAGTTGTCTGATTATATTTCCATTAGACAAAATTGTGATGGCACTAAAATTTCAAAATGCATGACATTAAAAAATGTTATATGAAAACAATAAACTGAAAATAAATCATCAAAGAACATACATAAGAATTTTTATGTTGATATAGAAGGGATTCCAAACCCAGAATCATAATATGTATTTTTAGATGAACTTCTTTACACCCAAATTTTGATTCTTTAATATCCATGAGCAATAAAAATATGAACATCACAGTTCTGACACACTTTTTTATTTTTGTGATTAGAATAACGAATTTACACTGATGAACACGATTCATTTTTAAGATCAGTGCAGAAAGCACAGAGCACATAGAAGCAGATCTGCTTCTCTGTGCTTTGAAATATGCATATTCTCTGTTCTTTGAAATATGCAGCCTCAAAATGATGAAAAATGCAAAACAAAAAATTAAGGGGTATGTAATATGCATATGTTTCAGTCAGAAAAGAAATGAACAAAAACTAATACAACAAAACACATGCAGCACCTTGAGATACACATGTATTGAATGAATTTATTTTCCTTACTAATCTCAATTAAGCAATTATTCATGAATATGTTTGATAGCACTAATAAATAAATAACATGAATATATCAGGGTTCGTACACATTTCCTTACATGAAAATTAAGGACTTTAAAGGACTTTTAAGGACCATCAAAGAAAAAATTAAGAACCTATCAGCAAACAAACAAAAAAAAAAAAAAAAAAAAGAGAATAAGCAGATCCATAAAAACGACTTCATGTTTAATTTACTTTAGAACTACAGAAGTGTGTATTATGCACTATTATTAAATTCACTAATACTTACATAAAACAATTTTGAAATAATTAACTCCTGCAAGTTATAAAGTAGATAACATTAAATTAGGAACATAATTTCTTTAAAACATGTATAAGTGTATTTTACACTAATAACATCCTATTTAGAGATTTACTGTTATATTAATTATTTATATTTAGTTAAACACAGCAACTACTTTATAATCACAATGTAAAATTTTGCAGAAATAACTGATTTGTAAACATACAATTTATTTCCTGGTTTTTTGAAAGAACTAGAATAATAAACTGGCAATAAAAGATACAAAACGTGCTTTTTTCAAATCTGAAATCTTTTCAGCTATTTTAACATCTAATTATTTTGTCTATTTCCTTTTTTTAACTGTTCTTCTACGTTCATTTGCTTGATAAACACAATGTGCAGCTGGTCTCAGATTCATCTGCTAAGCATCTACTTTTCATTAATATCTTTAATGTGTCTTTGAGAAATTTTTTCTTTCTTTCATCATTTCTTTTCCTCTTTGAATTCAAGATTATTAAGATTTTGTTCTTCTAAATACTGCACTATTAGACCTGCGAAGCTGCCGCTGATTCATTCTTTTTATTAATTTCGAGATTAAGAACAACTCCAGAAAATTTTGTAATCAAATACTGTGCATTGAAAAATGTATGATGAGTCACTTTTAAATTTTCAATTTCATTGCTTATTAAGAGAGCCCCTTTCGATAGAGCCTGTCCAAGGCGACAAGATAAGAATCATTTTCACTATTTTCATACTTCTGAATAGTAATCATGAAAAAAGAAGTGAGAAATGTGTCAAGAGAAATTTTGAGGATCAAAAGAGAAAATTCATGTACATTTGTCTTAACTACTTTGTCTAGAAACTCTCCAAACTGCAGCAGAATTTCATCCAATCATCTTGAAAAACACGTTATCTGCATCCAATCGTTTTAGAAAAATTTTCATTTGTTCTGGGCTTTTCTGGACTTTTAACCATCAATGTGGGTCATACAAGATTGCATTCGAAAAGAGAATAATTTATTGGACATTTAGACATTAAGGGTGTACTATGTGTTAAGACACATTGTTGACCTTGCTTCAACGCAAAAACTTTCAGCTTGTGAAATGTCCTTCTTGCGGCATTTATCATTATTAACTGTAAGCAAATGAATCCAAATAAACTTTATTTATCATTATAACAATTTGGATCATACAATTAAATTTATAAAAGTTTTTGCTTTAGTTATTTTGAATATCTAGTTCAAAATTTTAAAGTGCGAAGGCAATCATTACAAGTTTTAGAATCTTCAGCAAAAAAAGGGAATAAGTGGTTTACCACTTTGAATATTCAAGGGAAAGGCAATAATATATTTTAGACAGAGAGAAAAAAATTTAATTTTATAAGAAATGTTTTATCTTTAGTGCTCCAAATATTTGAGAAGGATTCGATGAATTTTTTTTTAAACTTCCCCATTTCCATCCATCATAGCCAGTCTTTGTAGTCAGCTTGATGAGGCCACAGCTTATTGAAAATGCACTTTCCAGGCTTCTCGTTCCTATTGGCGTCGGAAGGGTTCTGGCCTTCCAGGTTGGGACTGCTCTAATTTTGGGAAATATTTTCAGAATCCCCCACCCTTTTTTTTCTCGAGCACCTTCATCATCATTTCGCCTTTAAAGAACTTCCGGCTTCACGCTTCGTCAAATTCCTACATTTATGAGAACACTGTTTGAAAGATTGGGTGAAAGCCAATCAGACACCGATACTTTCGTTGAGTAGCTATTTTTTTTTTTTTTTTTTTTTTTTTTTTTTTTTTTTATCATTTGCAATGCAAATCCGCCAACAGATTGGTTAAAGAGCCGTGCAATTTTAATTCCTATTCATGAGAAATCAATTCCCACATTAGAATGGCAATCATTAGAAATGATAAGAAATGTCAAATGAGCAAATAAGGAGCGTTTATTCATTTTGGCCCAAAATTAAGGATTTTAAGGACCAAAAATCATTTTTGAAAAAATTAAGGATTTTTAAGGACCATACGAACCCTGTATATATGTATATTGTTCATACTAAATTCAAAATCAATGCAATTGTAAATACATGTTCTAAAAATCAATCTAGATAATATTTAAATCAAAAAACTTATGCTCCAAAAGATTAAAAGCATTGACCAAAATGTGAAAAATAAATTTCAGGGTTCATAACATATGTGTTTTAGTAGTGTTAAATGGTCAGTAATGTTAAAAATTTCATTTTCATTATAATGATTACATACAGTGGCTCCCAAAAGTGTTCGTACACTTATGATTTTCATGAATAGGGCTCTATCCATAATTAAAAGTAACTTTTGAATGAGATTTTAATAATGGATATAATCTATTAAAACAAAATACATGAAATATTGTTAAATATAGCAAACTTTATTTTAAAAAATTAATAATAAAAAAATTACAAACATTTATCTCACAAAAGGTCCCGTACACTTAAAAAAATCTTGATATAAAGTAAATATTTCCTTTATGTTAAAGCATAATTAGTAGGATATCCTTTAGCATCCACAACAGCTTTTAAAAATCGGGAAAGATTTACTAGTTTTTTGTAATTTCTGTACAATGTTCACCATTCTTATCAGACTGTTTTGAATTCGCTTTTCGTTTGATGTCGTGTTTTCTATTCACCTCCAATTCTCCTAAGTTTCTATGGGGTTAATCTGGTGACTAAGCCGTGTTTTCAAATCTGTGGACTTAGAGAGACACCACAGGTGAGTGAGAGCCGTATGCTTAGGATCGTTATCATGATTAAAAAAATTTGTTTCCATACCCAAATTAGGGCTGATAATTTAAATTGTCTCTTAAATATTAAATAAAGAGATGATTCATTATACATCAATAAATACCAAAATTGCCTAGTCATGATGGCTGCCATGCACACACACAAGAACACCTCCACCCCATGCTTAATTATTCCAAACAAGTTCTTAGAATGGAGTTCCTCACTTTTTTCTTCTCCAACAGTTTGCCCAGCGGACCAAAAATGTTAAATTTGTTTCGTCAGAAATAGGACATTATTTTAGAACGTGTTCGGTTGTATTTATCATTGATTTTGTGAATGAAAGCCTAAGCTTTCGTTCTCACTACAAAACAATTTTTACCGGAGAATTTTACTCTCATCATGTTTAGTTAACTTTCACGGTCGACCTTTCTTACCGTTTTCAATCCGATTTTTCTTTCAGCATTTATCCATATGCCCTGCAGAAGGGGATAATAACTAAATTTAGCGATATTTCGAATTGATTACCACTACTATGGTTGAAAAAAATTATCAGTTTTCGAATGCTGTTTGTATCTTTCCACTGCAACCCATTTTTTCATAAAAATAGAAATTTTATGAAGGTAACAATAAAAAATTAAAGCAAAGGATCACCATGCAAAAGTAAAAAAAAAGCGGGCAAAGATAATTCTAATTGATTATCCAAAAATATTCAGTGTACGAAGGCTTTTGTGAGATAAAAAATGTTTGTATTTTTTTTTATTAATTCCTAAAAATAAAGTTTGCTATATTAAAAATATTGTGTATACTTTTGTTATGAATAGATTATATATCTTATTATTAAAATCTCATTCAGAAAGTTTACTTTTAATTAATAGATAGAGCCCTATTTCAATGAAAATCATAAGTGTATGAACACTTTAGGGAGCCACTGTATTAATAATTATCAAAATCATCAGTTATCAAAATAGTCAGTGAGAAACATTAGTTTTGCGATTTCAATATGAAACTAAGGCCCAGCCTTTACAGTGAAAGATTGCTAAGCCCAAGCCATTTAGTAAGGTCGTAAATAAGAAATACTAGCAACAATTTACTTGTGCTTTCATTTCTTTTTCTGGTGTGTATGTGTGTGTTCAAAGACTGCATGTACTAACTCAGGAAAGGAAAAAATTTCAAGATGCTAAGGTACGGCACATACATAACTGCTATTTCAGGAAATCAATTCATGACACATTTCAAGCCGTACAAGTAGAAATCTACTACATATGAAATTAAGAGGACTAAATGGAAGAAATAAACATTCTCAACAATTTTTATATTTTAATAAATTCAAAAACGCTGTGATTACATACAGCAACCAACAAAATCTGAACAGTATTCAAAGGGAATTTTAAAATAGAGAAATTCACTTTAATGAAGGGTTATAATTTCTCCAGTAAAACCTTCAACCAAATTGATACACAAGAGTATAATAGCAGATTTACTACTAAACAAACTAGAAAAACCATTTTCATGCAAAACATTTGTAAGAGCTAAATGAATAACTGCTGTGTGTACACCAAGACACAGAAGCTTTGGACCTATCCCTAAAATTAATTTAAAAAAAAATCCCACATATTTTTTAAATTAAATGATATAAAGCATTGAAAACAAGATGGGATGAAGAAACATTCCACTAATTCAAGAAGAATTTGATCTGGAATTAAAAGAAAATTTTGAATGTTTTTTAGACTTACGGATCAGAGCGATTCTTTTTTGTGTCAACTGCAGCTAAATTACGGCATTCTTTTACATTGATTTCAAGAGTTCCTGTTTTATAATTGTAATTTAATCCAAATAAAACTTCTCCTGTTACAGTTACAGTACCATAACGGCCTCCACCAGCAGCACTATACACACTTGTAACACTCCCACTTCTACCCTACAAATGAAAACAGATCATAATTGTCAAAAGGTAATACGATAAAAATTGTAAAAAACACAAACAAATGAAAAATAATTATTTTTTAAAACTTACTGCAACTGTTAACACTTATGATATATACTTTTATTAATGTTAAAAAGATATACTCAAGATGTAATAATTTTAATAAATGCAATATCCACAAAAGTACACTGGCACAGAAACTAACACTTAAAAGAAAGTAACAAAAGAGGTGAAGCGACTGTGTTCAGTCTAGCTGCAAAATCTTTTCTAAATAATAGTTTGATTCATTGTTTTATAACATACACATGTTTAGATATCACCTTTGTGAATTTAGTGATCTCTACTTCTCTAACCCTTTGAAACCACCATTTTCCGAATTTTTTCCCTCCTCTTTTTTTCCGAAATTTTTGAGTGAAAATGAAGGGTTACGATCTTTACTCTAAACAACACAAAAGACTGTTTAGCATCATATATGTTTTAGTATAATATGCACCGGATGCCTTTTAACGCGTTTTCGAGGAGACAAAAAAAACGGCCTTTTATAATATAAACAACTTAAATTTCCAAAAAGTTAGGATCGCACATCACGATTTCTATCATAAAAAAGTAAAAAAAATGCAGTAATTAATGCATATATAAAAAAACCATATATGTAGGCATTTGCTATGTGGTTTCAGAGAACAAACCACTGTGCCACTTCAGGCATCGTGTTCACAATGCTTACAATCCCTAGAGGCCGGTGCACTTTGGAAACCACTGGCATTGGCTTTTCAATGGCGTCGCTTGCTTTCAAATAGGAATGTTTATTTTACCGGATATACCCTCAAGAGCCAAAACATTATGACCAGCCCTACATTTTGCGATGAACGTCCTGGATGCTGAAGGCCAGTGATCAGGTGGAAGTGGTATTTAACTGTGCTGGAGAGTCTGAAGAATCATTCTTTCACTTATCTGGTGTGATGGGAAAGCCTGCGGATCTAAGCAACTTTGATAGAGGGCAGATGAATGGCCGAAGTCGGAACAGTATTCCGAAACTGCTGATCTGGATGTGCGCGGTCTACGTAGTACGGATAAGAAAAGTGGAGGAATGAGGGAAACAGCAGTAGGCAACATGGTGTGGAGGCCAATGCTTCAAGAAAGGTCGTCGGAGAGAGAATGTCTCTCAGGTGAAGCAAAACGGAGCAGGACAGAGGCTCAGTGACAGACGCTACATGCAAGGACAGTAGAAAAGTATCCGAGCAAATGGCGCGGACATGTGGATTATGGGGTAGCAGCAACCGTCCCATCATGTACCCTTGGAGACAAGCGCATCGGCCAACTGTGCCTGGCTGGGCCCAGGACTATCGCGACTGGCCATGATCATGGGGAGGTTACCTGGTCGATGAATCACGTTTGTCATCATCTGCTGATGGCAGGTCAGGATATGCCGTCTTCAGGCGAACGTGCTCCCTCAATGCACAGTAGGTCTACCAGGCGGGTTGGTGGCGGTAGATGATTGGGGCGTTTCTTGGCGTCTCTGGGGGGCAGGTTGTGGGAGTAGAACATGAATGCTACAGAGTCTTGAAACATCATGCGGACCAGTTGCACAATTACATGGCCTCGTTTTCAGCTGGAAATGGAATGTCCAACAGGACATGCCCCGGCACAGGCTACAATGTGTGGATTGTCGAAAATGATGTGATTTCATTGGTCTGTCCGCCAATCACTGGAACACCATAGACACATTGGGATGTCATGACGGCCAGCTCAGAGTCAAAGACCACCAATTCGCAATATTCAGATTGGGTGACGTGCTACAACATCTGGACAATCTCTCCGGCATCTAGCAGATTGTGAATCTGCCAAGGCGGGGTGAATCTTGCGTTGCGCGCCAAGGTGCCACCCAACTGTATGAAGTGGTCATATGTTTGCTCTGAGGTAATAAAGGGCTTTGAACACAGAGTTATTTATTACTAAAAATACATGCACCTGCCCAGTAAAAGGTCTTTCTTCCAAATATTTTCTCTGACATCAACACACTGCTCCCCAGCTAGTATGTGATTTATAAATATTCTGGGTTTAAATTAATGAAAATATACTTTGCTAAAGTAAAAAGTTTATTTAAGTTAAAAATATTTTCTGAAAGTTTGGGAGAAATCGTAAAATAAGATGATGGGTACGACGATCCAAAGCCAAAAGACCAACTCCCATTAACTAAAAAAACCACAAATTTCACGTGACAGATGAAATGAAACTAAATAATGCTGGACATACCAGTGAAATTTAAATCCAGGCAGTGTACATTTTGTAGCATAAGGAAGAAACCTTATGGGACCTTATGTGCTTTGCTGATTTAGAAAATGTGAGTTTGGTCAATTTTTGTTGCATGGTACAGCAAGGTTGAAAGGAGAAAATGCAAGTGAGACATGAGTGAGCTTCATGATGGACAAGAGACAGGCGAAGAACAACAATAAGATAGTGAAGATGAGGACAACAATGATTCAAGTAATGAGGAAATGCAGTTCTAAGATATAGAAATTATGTTATAGAAGATATTGTAAATCGTCCACAAGAGCTTTTTACATTGTTTCATGCATTAAAACTGAAATGATCAATGGAATTCAATAGTGTGTAGGAGCAGCAGAAAGACAGCATTAAGGCAGAAAAGCAAGATTATGACAGCCTTACTGATACAAGCTGAAATTAGTGGATCCAGTCCTTGCTGCGAATAACAATGTTATCTTGAATGAAGAGATATGTGCAATTTCTGAAGTAAAAAAAAAAAATGTGACAATATTATATCAAAACAGGAATAGGAAGAAAAGAAAAAAAAGGAAAGAAAGAAAAAAAAAACATGAAGCTCAGCATTACAATTTAGAGCTCTTCTAATCATATGTAATTCAACTCCAAAATAATCCAACAATAACTGAGTAGTTAATCTACAAAAACTGGTTATGTTGAATGGGTGACAAAGGCAAATTGAACAGCCCGAGTTAATATTAGAAATTAACACATTTTACAGTGCAGATAGTGACCCTCTTCAGATTTATTTCTCTGGTTTTGCTGGTGGTGGTAAAACATTCATACTAATATTGATAATGGAGACTGTAAATCGTTTCACTCAAGAACATAACAACATGGAAATGCATACACAGCCACTGGTAAAGCTGCTTTACATTAAAAGGACTTGACTGTTCATTCGGCATTTTGTATTATCCCACAGAGCAAGAAAGTTCATAATTTGTCCCATGAAATGCATAGACAATATCAAGTTCAACTTCAAAATGTGAAGTGTGTGATTGTTGAGCAAGTTAGTATGATTAATTTGGATATATTAAAAAAAAAATAACAAGACTTCATGAAATAACAGGAACTTATGAAAAACCACTCAGTGCAGTGCATATAATATTTTATGGCAATTTCAGGCAATTACAACTATCAAGTGCAAGACTAGACATTGAATAAGACATTGAAACATAATGCAGCCTTTTATAAGTTCTACTGTAAAAAAAAATTATTACAGTTCTGTAACAATGTATACCAGTTCAGCAAAAACTTACATACTGTTATTTTTTAAACTTTTTTCTAGCACACAAAAAAAAAGAAATCCAACTGTGTAGTGATACTGATAGTAGAAAATGATGTCAGTGGTTCATTTTATCCTTTTTATTACATCATTGCACTTTTATAAGTTACAGCTTTGTCATGAAAAATACAATAATGTGATCATAAAAGATATGGAGAGAGCAAGAAATGCTTGCATATAGCAAAGCATATAAAGCCTATCTGCCTATGGGAACTGACGCCTTCACAGAGAACTTCAAGAGAAACTGGATGATATTTACATTCCATTATTATAAAACTCATGAAAATACATTTACCAGAACTGAAATCTAAGATTGCTTAACAGTGTTTTATAGTTAAAATAGAAAGACTATAAATATGGCATAGTGTTTGAAATATGTAATATAATCCTACCCAAGAATAGTATAATCCTTTATTTGATTAAACATCACTGTAAAAGAACTGAAATCACTTTCTAATATAATGACTCCCCCCCCCAGCATTTGGCTGAAAATAAATATTTATAAATACAAAATCCCACTTGCTTCAAATGATCTGTTCTTTGTTCTTAGTAGCTACTTCTCACACAGGAAAAGTATCACTTGACTGTTCTAATCAAAAGCAGAGTGGATGACATTCTGATATGAAAAGCATACATTCACCCTTGACTGTTCTAATCAAAAGCAGAGTGGGTGACATTCTGATATGAAAAGCATACATTCCTCTTGGTGGTTTATGTCAAAGTTGAGCTTTCCATGTATATGTTGCTTCGCAATCATGCAATATAAAAATTTTGAATGCATATATTGGCAACTTGCAAGTATCAGGGCAATTTCTTTGAACATATATGCATAAAGAGATATATTGATAGATAGGCCATGATAGATTGATAGATAGTTATACGATTTGATCAATGGGAAGATAAAGATATATATCCAGACGCAAAGGTTTTTAAACACTTCTGGTAATTTTTTTGAGGGAGGGGGGCTCAAAGTATTTTTCAGTATTTTTGTCACCCTCACAATTGACAATCTTTCCCACAAGGAAACACCATGAACTTTATATCTCTTTAAAAAAGAATGAAAGACATTAAGACCTTTTAAATAAAAAAATGACATAATCAATCATATATGCTACATAAAAGTTACCAAACAAAAGAATAAATAAAAAAACAGAGGTGAATACACAGTACTGCTAACAATGTAGCTAAAAAGCACAACATTCAAATCTGCTGTCCAATAATGGTTTATACAAAACAGAAAAAATATTTCTAGCACTGGCTGAACGTATGTTCACGAATGGCAAAAGCAGAAAGAAAGCCCATGTGCTCTGAGAGTATATGTTGTACATGCAGGGCTGGGTGATCTTACCCATTAAGCCCAATTTAGATTAAAAATTTATTTAAAATCATTACTGCAATTAAATATGCTGGAATTTACAGTTTATTATTATTGATAGTACCTGAATATACTGCAATAAAATTTTTGTGATATTTAAAGGAAAATAAAATGAATTTTAAAGAAAATGGTTTTAATTTAGTAAAATAAATTTCATATAAACATTGTCGCGAGAAAAATGCACACACTAAAAATTTGGAGAAAGAGAAAGAGAAAGTATTAGAAAATACGATACATCCAAATTTCTAAATATAAACCAAATGGAATAAACATATTCATATTTATAAGTCTTCAGTCTCGTACGGGTAAAGGCCCTTATTTCGCGAAGAGAGCCCGTCATTTTTATCGTGAAATTAAGCCTCACGACCAAATACTTGTTTAAGACTTCCAACTTCTTTACTTTTGAACTTTTTAACTGTCGGGTTCGTCTATATAAAATTCGCGAAATTTTCAGCTCACGAAATCGCCGATATTTTCGTTTTCGCGAAAATTACGGCCTTTACAGTATCTACCCTGTGCTAGTTTAGCAGTTTTTTAGCAAATATAAAACTTTATCTATCCACTTTTTCCTCCAACAATGTAAATAAATAAATAAAAAAAATTATAAACTTGCATTTGAGCATTCAAAATGTACATAAAAGATTAGAAAATATAAGTAGAAAATTTACAAAGTTTTGCATTCATAGTAAGTTAACATGCACTTTTCTTTTAAGCAACATTTCTTGAAAACTGCATACTATCTTGACATTTTACTATTAGCATCTACATGTAATTTTGGAAAATAACGCCCATTTAACTGTAAAGTAATCATGACTTGTAATGCAGTTTGTACTTCTGTGGCCTTAGTTTTCTTGCATCTTTGGATTACTTGCTGAGCAACATTGGTTCGAAATTCCAAAGATGACATTTTTTCCCCTTTTTCTTTGTAGAATAGTAACTTGAATTTAATTATGCAATGACCAAAAGATATGAAAAATAATTTTCTGCATCACTTAGTCTTTCTAAAAACTGGGTAGTGATGCACGGTAGAGTCTCTTGTATCAACTTCTCCTATGTACTTATTATAATTAACAATGCAATGAGGTTTCTTTATACCCTCTGTTTTCAGTTTTTCCTCTACACTATACAAATTAGTCTCTTTCTGTGAAATGTTATCAACATGATAATATTTTCTTTTTATCCTTGAAATTGTTCACATAGATTCAGAAATCTCCCTTATCAATTTCTTTATGGAACCCTCCTTCTGAAACACAGCAAAGGATGAGTAGCAAATCCGGGAGAAACAAAAAAAAAAAAAAAAAAAAAAAAAAAAAAAAAAGAAGATCAAGGTAATAAATTATAGCCTTTATTTTTCAACTTGATGAACAAAGTCTTAAAAACTAAGTTCCCTTTAAAGTGCAATTGGCTCCATCAGCTCAGTGTCTTTGCCAGTAGAGGAAAAAAAAATTCTAAAAAAGCACAATTTATAGATTTTGATATCATGCTAAGATTATTTAGAAGGAATGTACCCAGGTTTTCTTTTCCAATGAAAAAGGCCTTTCAACAGATATTTTTCTTTCGGGAATACAAACAGTTCTCGATTTTTTTATTAGTTTTTCCTGAACTGGGTTTTATTTTCGAATTCCCCCCCCCCATCTGGTATTGATGTAAAGTGCATACATTTCAAGATTTCAAAAAAACTATTTCACCTACTTTTTAAAATGACAGAACCAAAGAAAGGAGTACAAAGAACTGATTTTTTTTTTTAAATGCATTTTTATCGTAGGTTTCTTGATTCTGCAATGCATTTAGGTTCTGTTATTTTGATTGTTTTGGAACTGTTCTTGATTTTTCAAAAATAAATTTTGAAAGTTTGTTCGATCAACTGTTTCAATAATTTCATTAGAATCATAAATCTAATTCTCCTTCAACTGGCTCTGAACTGTTTATGCAGATACCATGATTTGTAGAAAACTCCAGGGATGTAAATTCTTTTATGTCCATTTCCCAGTTACTCACACTTAAAACTGTCTACACTGTTATCCATGTTATCAGCTAAATCACTGTCATCTGAATATTCAAGATTCACTGCCGCTTGTATTTGAAAAATTACTTTCCTCCATTTCACTATCTCATTCTTCCATCAATTTAGAAATATCACTCTCATTTAAATATTTCACTCTTTTTTTTTTTTTTTTTTTTTAACCATGATGGCTAAAATAAAATTCACCCAAAACATACAAAATGCTATCTCCCTTCCCCAAAATGCAAAGGAGAATTCTACTCCCACCCCTAACAAATAAATACCCCATCCTTTCCGCATTCAATCAAAATATAAACAAAAACCCAGCATGCAGCAAAATACAGCCCTGCGTGTAGCTGTTTACCTGTTCAAATTCCCCTGATCCAACCATGGGGGGGGGGAGCGGAATTGGCACTGAAAGGGCATTTGGAACATTATTTTAAAAACATAACAGTCATTCAAATTTTAACTAAAATGTTCCAATTTGAAATCACATTGCTGTGATACTGGACCTCAAGGCTTGGAAAAGCAGGTCACATACTATATATAATACTTTGGGCCATGAAGGGAGAATCATGTGATCACAATCCTGAATGGGTTAAACAGAAAAGAATGTACATAATCTTCCTAACTAAGAATTAAACACAGGATCACCAAACCTAAAAGAGTAAACAGAGAAAGAACTTCAAGAAGGTACAGTTGGAAGAAACAGGATTATCGAAGAGAAGATCTCCTGGATTAAAAAAAAATTATTCTCCCTTAGAGGGGAAAAACACACAGGGGGGATAAAATACTTTAATCTGCAGAGTAAATACTTACTCCAAACGAGGATAATGACATCTGACTTCTACAATGATATGCAAATGTCTGATCAAGATCATCATCATGAACCCCAGAACTATCCTTTTCAGAACTAGCAGCACTTAGTCGCCCAATATGATTCTGCAATAAATGTAGCATTTTAGAATTTTGTAAGTTGCAAATGGTAACCAATTAAAAAAATAAAAGAATATACTTTGGAATTTAATCAGCTTTAAATTTCGTGCCAGAAATATTTTTTATTGAAAAATTTAAAACTCCACAGTGATAAATTTTGAAAGAAATCTTGTCTTCAACTGGAAACGGTGGCTACATTCCTTTCAAATTTATGAAACAGCATGCACAAAAAAGGGGGGGTAAGAGCTCTACCCTCCTTCAGCTGATACGAATTTGGATCTTGAAATATACTACAATACATGTCACAAGATCATAAATAGCACAAATTAGACAAAATTAAGAAAATCAGTATTAAATTTAAGAAAATATTTAAATTCTTAATATAAAATTGAATTGTACTGGAAATCACAGATGATAATGTAATTGGCCTTTGAAATAAAGCTAGATCATGTGAGTTTGCCCAAATAATGACTAGTTTAATAAAAGATAAAACTGCATGCAATATTACGAGAATGCAGTGAGTGCAAGATTATTGGACAACATAGAATTAGCATTAGAAAAAAATTTGACACATGTAGATCTGTCGAAATAAGTGTGCTCAAGTGAAAATAATAACAGATGAAGACACTATTGTAAATGTAGAGTAAAAGAAGCTAAGCAAGCATATTAAGAATACAACTAAATAAGCAAATTTTGAGAGACAAGGAATAAAAGTAGTTACTTCTAAATGCCTAACATTTCATGAATACCAAAAGTGTCCTATGCAGAAAAAGATTTGTTATAGGTGTAAAATGACATATTATTTTGTGAATGAATGTGAAAATTATCATGACAAAAATTCATGTTATCAATATTAACAAAAATAAGAAACAAACTAAATTACTAAATCTGAGAAACAGATTTTCATGTAAGAAATCTATGTGTGTGTTCAGAAAGCAAAAGAGACAGAGAGAATTGATATTATAGAGAAATAAACTTAATTTGTGGTTAGATACCAGGATAATGTGCACTGTTACTTCTAAAACCACAGTGAAAATGATTGAAGTTCTGATACAGAAGTCTGAAACTAAAAGAATAATTACATTCGCTGGATATAACAGAAAATGTATTACCGTGTGCCCAAATGAAAAGGAGACCTTAGCTGTAGTGGCTTTGTATCAAATCTGAAGCAATTAATGTGTTAGCTGTGATGGCATGGTGGTATTCCCAGTTGCACATGCAACTTTCTCGAAAGTAGTTTCCACAGTTCATTGAATGATGGATTCTTACAAATCAGCACAAAGAGCAGTTATCCAGTTTCCTTGTGCAGAAGGGAAGCATGCTTCACAAATTTATTGCATGATGAAAGAGGTATATGGAGAATAGTAACTTGCATGCTACAACATATTCCAGTGGTGTCAAGGTTAACATCAAGGACTTGTCATGCACTGGGTGGACAACGTTCTGATGCAGAGGAGCTCATACAAGCAGAATTACTGGGTCACCACACGTGACACTGTTGTTGAAACTGTCAATAAGCAAAGGAACTGTGTATTGCATAATACACAAAAAGCTTTTATGGGAAAGTTTATGCGTAGTGGGTGCCTACGCATCTGTCAGAGTATCAGAAAACAGTAAGAAAGGGTGTTTGCCCAACCTTATAATATGCCTTATAATGCTATAAGAAATAATTATATAACCTTATAATGCTATAAGAAATACTATTTTAAATAATATATGCAAGAATCCAGATTTTTTTTAAAGCAAGTTTTACAGGAATTATTTGTTAAAGTTAGGCCTAACTGCAAAATATGCTCAGGCACAATGATATTTAGCACTCCAAGGTCACCAGTACACAGGGAAACTTCATTCGTTTAAAGTCAGGAGTGAAGAGGTTTATATTTGTTTCATCCATGCTCTTTCATTTGAATAATAGATGACAGGGAAAATTTTTACTCCCGTAAATGTCCAAGATCATGTTCCCCCTTCCAAATTATGAAAAGTTTACATGTGTTTTTTTCCAGCAGTTACACATTCTAAAATCGTTAGTCTCAGTTTTCAATTTTTGATACCAGCTGGGGTCTTTTTTGTAGAGGTTGCCAAGGAATTTTGAGGCTCATATTGCCAGAAAAGACCAAATTCATCAGCATTATACATTTGCTGTGGAGATAACATTTGCTACTAATGAGTTCAATGAATTCCCCTGTAAATTGTTCAGGAGCTTCATTATCAGCTTTCGCCTGAAATTTTAACAATCATGATTATTTAATTTGTTTAGTCAATCTGTCAAATAGTGCAATCAGGCTTTAAATATATTTCCTCATGAAATATTTTGGCTTGTGCAATTTGTATTGTACCCACCAATGGTATGGCCTGGCTGCAATGCTGTTTCCCCCTTTTAAGCATTATTTTGTGATGATCAATTTTAGCTGCAAGTGTGATATCAGAATCCACAAAATAAATAAATAAGAACCCTCCTACTCTCTTTTTAATACATCATATACTGTTACTTCCCAATGCCATACACCTTGTGTAATTTTGAGACAGATATGTCTATCATTTTTGCAACAATTCCACATTTTGCTTGATTGACACTGAAATGTGCTCTTGTTTTGCAGATCCTGTTGCAGTTCAAGAATTACAAACTCTTTTGAGCATAGTTTAAAATTCAAACTTCTATGCCAGTGAAAGACAGCCTTTAGAATGAGCAGTATCCCACTCCAAATAACTATGTCTATAGGCTTCACTTATTGCTTAGGTTAGATAGAAAATGTTACCCCCCAAACAAACAATTAACAGCTAAAAGTATGGTCATGAGGAACATCAACAGAGCATCAATCAATGTATTATTATTAGCCACGGTGTGATTTCCTAGCCAGCAGGGGTTTGTGAAATGCAGGAATCTTGGGAGAAAAATTGCTTTTAAGGCACATCTGCCTTTCTCGAGTATTATATTCTTTATTCCTAAACTTTGTGCAGAAAAAATTTTAAAAAATTTAAAAAAAAAAACTGCTGGTGATCCAGGGGTTTAGATCTGGATTTCAGACTTTGTATGTTATCAATATATATAAATGGCAAACATATTCAGACTGAAAACATAACTAAAAAACCTCTTTTTAACAGCACCTTAGCAATCACAAAGCATATTTAAAAATTTACAAAAGTATCACCTAGATGTAGGCTGTGAAAAAGAAAAGATTTAACTGATATCAGATACTTTAAGTAAAGAACATTTGAGCACATTACAAAATAACGATGAAAACTCTAAAATCTGTGCATTTATTCCAGCACCTAATAACAAAACTGATGAATTGCCGAAAGACGGTAAATGTAATGTTACACTTCCTTTCTTTAAGAAATATATTTTAGGAGGTGTATCAGAAAGAAAAAAATTAACTGGAGCCTAAATCAAAGTATTTTAGTACTACACATATGATGCTTACTCAACAAAAGGACTTATTTTTTAAAGATGAAAAGGTAATAATCCCTTTATCCGTGCAAAAACAGATGCTGAATTCAGTACCCGAACATAATTTTGTGATAGAAAAATGCAGGAAAAGAGGTACAGATGTTTCACTTTGACTACTTATGAACAAGCAGACAGATGATAAAATTTCAAAATGTTTTATATGTAATGAAAATTAGAAAAAAGCGTACGGGGGGTTATGTTACCACAAGATGTTTCTAATTTATTTGGTATAAAGTTGACACGAATTTAATTTAGAGAGACAAAAACATATACCTATTAATTGTAAATTATTATTCCAACTTTTTTTTAATTTCTGTATGCTCAAAGTCAGATAATAATAACGTACATGAAATCTCATTCTGCAAGTTATGGTATACCACCGATAGTGATATCTAGTAACAGACCTGAACATGCAAGAATTTGTAAAAAAGTATTGATTTAGACATATAAGAAGCAGTCCATATCAGTTGAATGGACTAAAAAGAATTCTAAAAATGGCCAAGAAATTATTAAAGAAAACTCAAGACATCATATTAAGGTAACCCTACCCTTACTTAGCATTGTTAGCTTATAGAGACCTTCAGATATTAGGATCAGCAGCTCAATGACTTACGAATAGAATAATTCTTCCTACAGCAGAATTACTAAAATCTCAAGTTGTGGGGAAAATGTTTAAAGCAAAAATCAATCAAGAAAGAACTATGCAGAAGACATACAATCATTACAGAAAAATATTAACATCATTATGCAAAGGAGATTAAGTTATTTCAAGACAATCAATGGAAACCCAGCAGTTGTAGAAGCAATAAAGATGCCTAAATCATATATAATAAGATCAAGTGAAGCAGTATTTAGAAGAAATAGAAAAAAAAAAAAAAAAAAAATACAGATAATAAAAAAAGTACTGTTCAGCTTCTGAACAAAATAAGAAAGGAATAGACTAAGAAACTAATGCACAGAAAATATGTAACAAAGTATGAATTCCCTAAATCTTCTTAACAGCAATTGCTTAGAGCAGTGTTTCTTGAACTATAGGTCATGGCCCCAAGTGGGGTTGCAAATCAAAATTTTGGAGTCACGAAAATTCAATTCGGTAGTTGAATTTAAAGAAACTGCATTCATAAGACTTAAAGAAATTACATTAATGAGATTAAACTTATGAAGACATTATATTATTATTAATTACCTGATATACAAAGTGCAAAAGGAATTTGAAAAGCTATCTAACAATTCAAACCAAAAGATTTGAGTTTTCACAAAAATCCTTGATGAATTCTGGATCAGAGTTAGAACTACATTTCTTATTTTTTCTGAAATGACATTAAATGTTCTTCTCTCAATCAGCACCATGTATTTTTATAAATCTACTTTTTCAGTTATAACGCTAATTAAAACCAAATGTCGTTCAATGCTGAAAGATGTTGAAGATGCTTTACGTCTAGCAGCGTCAAATATTGCTCCAACATTTAATTTGCTATGCAGCAGAAAACGAGCACATCTGTCTCATTAGAAGTTTCTTTAATTTTTGTTTGCTTAAAATAAATCCTAAAACTACTTCTTTTTATATGCATATTGTTTACCAAAGAAGTAAATTATTTATGGGAAGACATTTATTTTTATATTTTTATTTCATATTTAATATCTGGGGTAGCAAAAAAAATCTCAGTGATAAAAAGGGGCGACGACTGAAAAAAGTTTAAGAAGCCCTGGCTTAGAGGATCAATTACCAAACTCCGTTACTTCAGAACCATTAGGCAGAGAACAAAAAAGTGAAAGAATAATTAAAAAGCCCACCAAATATTTGGATTGAACTTTTAAAAGAGGGGTGTAACATTTTAGAATTCCATGTTATATTTCTAATTTTCACATTACACAGTACAAAGTCTGAAATCCGGACGTCCATTATCCGGAATGATCTAAAATCCGGACCTCAGAACTACCAACAATGTTTTTCTGGTAGGCTTTACGCATGCACATTTGATTCCCTCCTCCGCGCACAATAAAACATCTCGAGAGTCCCGATTCTTAATTTCACTTTGACTCTAATAAAATACCTTGAAAGTGAAGAACAATTTTTAGCATAAATTTGAACAATCAAGTAATTAGCTGTTGCGTATCTGATGGCACACATCTCAAACCAACATTCCACAAGATACATCGTTGATCTGATGCCAACTGCGAATGAATTTATTTACTCCTTTCATCACTGCATTTTATCAAAACATGACAACTTAGTAATGACTCATATAGCGATGCCTAAACAATTGTTTGTTAGTAATGAATAATAAAGGAGTATGGTACCTTTTATGTGACAGTATGATTGGCGATGATTACAGATTTAGTTAATGCGCTAAAAATGTTGCAAGGAAATTTACAAAAACTTTCTTTCAATGCTAAAAATTTTTGTTGATGACATAACGCCCAAAGATTACATTTACGGCTATTTGAATTAAGAATAACTGATTTGTTATTCACATACACACATAGCGCCAGGGTTCATATGGTCACACCGAGTCGCAGAATTTAGGACCCACAGAGGTGGTAAGATATCGCGCCGCCCCTCAAAAGCTAAGTATAGTGGGGAATTATAGTCAGAACTCTGAACTTCGCAGGTGCAAGAAAGTAAATAACTAAACTAATACATCAGGCTAATGTCTAAGTGCGTGTAGAAATAAATTTAATGGAAAACTTGTCGTAGTTGCCAAGCTCACAATGCACAGCAAATATGTCTAGTGAGGATCACTAAATTATGATGACAGCCGCTAATTTTAAATGTTTTTGCATATCGTAAACAAAGGTGAAATTTTTCAATTAACAGATTTGTAAAGAAATGTAGAGAAGCTTTAATAAATAAGATTATATAAAGAAGTTTTCACTGTGATGACAAGCTCTCAATCATCAATTAATAATGAATGGCAAATCTGTAGTATGGCTCTATCCAGAAATACCGCTACCAATAGTGAAGAAGTGACAGAGAAGTTACTGAAACGAGAAAATTTCGATTGCAAGTTAATCGGAATTCTTGAAACAGCAGTTACAGGACTTAACAATGTACTAAAAGATTAGGTCTATCTACAGAATTTAAAAAGTTTAGCAAAAAAAAAAAAAAAAAAAAAAAAAAAAAAAAAAACAACTTAAAGAACTTACTTAAAGAAATGTTAATAAGGTAAACAAAAATATTAAGCTCTTTTTTGTAAATTTTTATACCCTTTAGATCAAAAATACTTCATTATTTCATAAATCCCGATTTCATATTTTCAATTTTATAATTTCAACATGCCACCTTACTAGATTTAAAATAATGATCTTATGTCAGGAAAAATCACAAATCCAGAATTAACGAAGTTCGACGAGTCTGGATTTCAGACTTTGTACTGTACTAATAAATAAGTTTAGGTTGTTAATTTCGGAATTTCTTCTTTTATGATAAAGCAAACTGTCATTATTTTCATAAAATTTCATAACATCTATAAGACTTTCTAATGAACATTTCTGTTCAACTGAAATATGATTAATAGCCTGTAATCTAAAATTCGATTTTTAGCAAATTTCACCATATATATATATAGGGCATTTCAAAAATACTGAATGACAAGTATCTCTTAGAAAAGCAGTCAGAAACTTAAAATTTGCATTAGTTGAATTATTAGCATAATCTTTTACTTTGATTTACGGAAGCTCGGAAAAACACATTCTACTGCATGCATTAAAACAATACTTGATTTCTGAGGGCACAGATATAACATTAGATAATCACTTAGTTTTATAATATTGCAAATGTAATAAGTAACTGTCCTATTAATAAGAGTGGTTAAAGCCACAAAACGCTAGTAAACTTATAGAGATGAAAAGATGGGATTTTTATATTTTCCCCATATGTAATATGGTCCAGTTTCCCTTATGAAGTCCTCCACGAAGACATTCCTCCCTGAAATTCATTCAAAAGTGCACTTGAGACTTCTGCTTTTGCCATATTGTAGGCCATTCTAAGTCTTACAAAAACTAGATTTAAACAAACAAGGGTTATGTCCAGTACCAGATGTGTGTTGTAAGTACAATTTTTAAATTTCTATTAATGTATCGATAGCTTGCTAATACACATTCACATTCTGAACAAGCATATTCAATACAAATATAAAACCCAGAAAATAATAAAGATTCAATACATCTTTTTTTCTTCAATAATTTAAGTAAGTTTCAGCAATTTGACTAATAATGCAATGAGGTACACTTCAAGGAAACTCTTTAGTTCCATTTATATAGAATTTTACAGGTTAGATTAGGTTATCTGAATATGGCAAATTACACATGGGCTATCCATTCTCATTATGGCAGAAATATTAAACAGAAAAGTTTCATTATGCCACATTTTAGAGCGTAACAAAATGAAAGGTATTTTATTTAGGGTATAACGTAAAACAAGAAGTCTAGCACCAAAATGACAACATGATCTTACCTCAGGACATTCTGAGACTGAAATCTGGGGTACTGATGCTTTCCTTTGCTTACCATCTTCACTTCCTCCTGATAATGAACGATTTCTTATGCGTAATCTACCATGTGGAGATGAGCGTAGAGAGTTCCCACTCTCATCTATAATGGTACAAAGATCAAACTCTTAATAATTGAGCAATTTGTCAAAACATAGTAAACAAATTTATATAAATTACAAAATGCAAATGTCATTTTAAAAACTACCATTATCTATACAATAATATATATATATATATATATATATATACCACACACACATGTGGGTGTTTGACAACAATAACAAAAATGACAATCAGATCCAATAAAACAAAAGTATAATACATAACTGACTTTAAAATATGCACAAAAATGCAATAATATACAAAAGTTAATAATTGATATTCATTAATTAAGTTCAATAATCTTCTCATTTAAATTAAAAAATATTTTATCATACGAGTTTCCTGTCATCGAAAGCCAATCTGGCTGTTATAAAATATGCAAATACAAAATAAAAACATTAAAAATGTAAAAAGACGTAAACAAAAAGTAAAATATACATCAAAATTAAGAATATTTAAATGTAAAATATGATGATAGACAAAATGGTACATTTACAATGAAAATGCAAAAGTGTGAATGCTGAAGCAACCAGCAACACAATACAGAAATAACCTCTCCAGCTCCCCTCCCAAACAATCCTCAATTTCCCTTATTTACAAATGAAAAGGTTAGGTTAGGTTATTTAATTATGGCAAAGACTCGAGGGCTATCTGCCTAAAGGAAGGGATGCCCTTCGTGGAGGACTTTCTAAGGAAAATGGCTCGTATACATGTTACAGATGGGGAAAACCACGAAAACACCCATGCAGCCAGCCCATTCGCGAGATTCGAACCTCAGACCGAACTACCAGTGTTGTTCAGCGACTTTACCGCTCGACTGCTGGTGGGCCCCAAATGAAAAAGTGGAAGCACTTTTAAAACACTCAACAATGAAATCACACATACATCACATCAAGGGGCAGCCTATATGCAATTATATTAACTGCACTTCTGACAATGCCAATTCACTTAAAAAGTGAACAAACGAATTAAATGAGCTCAGCCGTATGCAGGTAAAAAATTTTAAATTGATTGAAAAATGAATAAAAAAAAATCTGGCTTAAAGGAGGCCAAACTGCAAAAAAAAGGAGAAATGAATGCAATGAATATGCAATCAAAAATATACGAGATGATATCCGGCCAATAAAAATAAATAACAAGACAAATAATTAAATTAAGCCAACAATCAGCACAGAAAAACAAAGCAGAAGATTTTAACTGTTCTCCATTAAAACACAGATGATGAATTCTACATATGTTGCTCCCTGATGAGACGTGCATAGTTTCATTTTCTACTTTTCCCCCATTTTTCATACTGCTTTTTCCTTCATTTTTAAAATAACACAAATTTATCTTATTTTTAAAACAAAATGAATTTTATTTTTTCCCCTTATGGTTTTTTTTCTGTGTGATGATATTTGCTTCAGCATTTATACTTCTGCAGTTTAACTGCATATATTTCAATTTTTCCACCTTGTATCTTATTTGAAAAAATTTTCCATTTTAACATGTACTTATTGACATTTTTATACTTTCACTCTATTTACTTTACACATTTTAATAACTGCCAAACGGGCTTCGGGTGAGGGAAGCTCATATTAAATAACTAAATATTTCCTTTAAGATTAATTTAGCAAATTTAAATCTTTACACACGCACTAAGTATCAAATATGGTATATGTGTGCGTGTGTACAAAATCTTAGACATTTTACAAATCTTTGCAAATTGCAAGAAATGGCTAAAATTAATTTTTTCAAGAAAACTTTAAAAAATTCAGAATATTTCAACACACAAGGTTTTGTTTCGATAAAAGGAAGAGATTATTGTCAATTCAGCCCCAGCAAGAACGAAAAGAGGAAACCAAACCTTTGGATATAAAATCCTTTGAAACAGGTAAGTGATTTTGCACCCTGAGAGATCACATTTAACATTTACTTTATACTCTCAGCTTTGAAAATGGGAAAGAAAGACATCGTCATCATGGTTGCATTACAGTGGTGATTACAGCAGAAGTTTTTTTAAGTAGGTAAAAATTTTCCTCCCACCAAAATAACATAATTATATAACCTTTATTATCAACAAATAACTCTTAATAATAGTGACTTATTAATAGCACTCTAATAATCTAATACAGGTAATATACAACCATTACAATCAAGAAGAAAAATCCCTTATGTATGAACAAATGACCCATTTCAATCAATCTCCAGTAAGGTTTGACTAAAGAGTTAATAAAGCTTAAAACATTCAACAAATATTTTTATCCATCTAATAAATATAACTTCTGCATTATACATAGTTAAAACACTTTACTTTGGTATATGTTATAAGCGTACTTTTTAAATATATTTTAAATAAATGAAAATATGATTACTTCAATTCAGAAGGTACTTTAAGTATATTACAATAAAATATTCAAACCTAATATAAAACCTCTAAAATTACATACAAGTAGAATTATTCTTAATAACACGGTAATGAGCTTCTCATGAAAAAAATTTATGAGGGAAAAACTTTTAGCTATTGTATAACTTGAAGGGCAAGAAAGAAAATAGTTCTTTTTTAATGTATTTAATATAAACGTAGATCTAATAATAATAACCTAACTCAGTGATTCTCAACTGGTGGTATGCAAAGAAACAAAGTATTTTTAACTATTAAATTTTAAAAATCTTGTGAAGAAAAAGAAAAATTGATAGTAATTTCCTGTGATCGAACTCTTAACTGAAGATTCCAAAAATAGCATACTTGTTAACTTTTGGCTGAACCAAAAAAAAATTTTTTAAAGGCATTTCAAATAAAGCTATTAAATTTTTATTGCCCTTTTACGCAAACTATTTGTGTAAGGATTTTCTTCCATGTCATATTTGAAAAATAAACACAGAAAAATTAAAAGGGATCATTTTACAGTAACTAAGTGAATAAACCAGACATAAGAAAATTGATCTTTCTTAAACAGCTCAAATTTAATACTAAATTTTAGAATAAAGCATATAACTAAATTTTGATGATTCAATGGTAACCAATTTTAATCAATATTTTTTAATGTGTGCTATTTAATACAAATAGCCAATAGGTTGTGCAAATGGCAATGTATATATAATATTTCTATTGAGAATTCAAAAAATAATCATTATAAAATGTAGTGATGGTACTAAGGTTTTTCAATTTTTGTTTAGATGGTACATGTTAGTCAAAAGGTTGAGAATTGCTGATCTAGATGTATATTTGATGACAGCAAGAATTCATTAGTTTTCTGATAAAATAAAAAGCAAGCTATGTAATAAATATAATATTTTACTGTTACAGAAAAAAAAAAAAAAAAAAAAAAAAAAAAAAAAAAAAAAAAAATAGGAAGAATTAATGATACATTACCTATAAATAAAGACAATGAAAAGAAAAGAGATTTTAAAATATGGAAGATAAATCAGCATACACATGACATAAATAATATATTAAACATTTAACAGATATTTTTGAAATTTCATTAATATCAAACAAATAACTGCTGCTTTTTCAAATACTTACTTAAATTTACATACTTGTAAAACTTAAATTTAATATTTTCTTCAAGATTATCATATTTAAATATATTTACACAGTCTACATTTTCACAAATTTACCTTCAAAATCTTTATGCGATTTTTGCTCACAAAGAACACTTTTGTTATCTTCGGGCAAACCCAAACATTCTTCAGTTTTAACTGCATCAAGTGTAAAGACAGATGTTGCCATTTCTTTGTTATCAGAAAATGAAAAAGAATTTTCATTTTCATATGCTGCATCACTTTTCCTAACTGCATTACTTACAGGCACTTTAACTTTTCTCTTGCATAAACAATTACAAGGCAGAATAGCAATAATAAAGTTCAAAAAAGTACAACCAGTCATGTAAGATGCAAGTTTAGAGTTCTACTCAGTAATTTACAGAATAACCAAAGAAGCATTCGCTCTGTTGACATTTTAGCCATAAAACTGATATGAACAGGAAGTGCCAGCAAGCTGGTCTCAGTGATAAAAATAAGAAATGATAGCTAGATTTTTTTTTTTTTTTTTTTTTTTTTTTGTACTCATGGTCTGGTTTCTTCTTTTTAATTGTAATAAGAGCAGCATATTTTTTAAAAGCCAAAAATGTGCACATCAGGAGTTAAAAAAACCTTTTGTTTTTTCCTTTACATGCACTATGTTACTCACTCAAGTTTTGTAATAGATTTTGCATTTTTAATTTAATTACACATTGCATACTTTTGAGTCTTTCTATATTATTAATTTTCTTATTTTCATTACTCCAGTATGATTTCTTGATTTGCTACTGATGCAAGACAAACATTTAGCAGCCCCTTTTGTCAATTACTAATACTAACTGGGATCTAATTTTAATCAAATTATGCTTTAGTTCAGGAATTTCAGATATATATATGGTTTATATTGCTGGTTATAAGTAATATCGCCCTAACATTTTTAAATCAATTTTTAGGCTAGTTTGTTTAATTTAAGACTTGCATAAAACATTAGAAATTTATTGCATGAAAATCCCGTTTTTATATTATTTCACTCTACATTTTAAATCCATTTAATAAAATTTCTGATTTGCTTTGTTTTCTTTTCTCTGCTTCCAACTGACAAAATTTTTGCATCACCTATCGATAATATATCTGTTTAAAAAAGGAATGTGAAGAACAGCAATTGAAAATCATAAACTGTAATCTGAATAGCATAATAATATCAACAAAAAGGCATTTTTAGGTGAAATGCATGAACTTTATCATTTAAGAAAAGAAAAATCAATCTCTGAAATGTACAAGACTTCAAAGAAAAATTTCCGAAGGCACAGGCAAAAGCACAAAAATGAAAAGCAAAATTATTAATCTCTGAATACACAAAACCATTAAGTGTGCATTGGAATTTAAATTTTTAAAACCAATATACTCTGGTAAACATGAAAAGTTGAAAGAAATAATAATCAGACTTAATTTTTTTTTTGCATATTTCTAGATGAAGAAAAATTAAATTTATGA